CAAACCAAGGGACTATACACGAATGTCAGTCCTGATATCACCTATTGTGACAACTGGTTTAATGCCAGCACGTTGTACACGCTCGAACGGGGTCTGCTCAGCGGTATTTCAAGACAATATTGAAGTCATTCATTCATGCAGGATCTTTCGGATATGTGGTGTGGTGAATGGATCAAAACAGTTAACCCACTTTGCGACTAGTGGGCGATGGTGGCCAAGTGGTTATGTGACCTGAGTCCCGGGTTCGCACCGCTCGATCGCCGTCCGTCTTCCCAAGCAGCCTTTGTATGGCCGCGGCCTACTTCCGAAACGTTGACTGTACATTTTTGCTTTCGATAAATAAAAGAAGGAAGTAAAAAGATACACGCTAGTGGTTACGAATTCTCACCGGCTTCATTAGCTAGGGTGGGATAATGAAACGTGAATAGGACTGACTAATCCATCTAAACCCCGCATGCTGATGATGTGAATCTTCTGTCCCATCGACTATATGACTTGCTCCAGTCAGATGGGGAAACTGATGGCTTGTAGAATTGCGGGTTTTATCCCAGTGTTTCTCTACAAGCTGTATAGTAAAGTCGGTAGTTCCCTACGATTTCTCAATTTGAATAGAAAAAAAAACTAATGATTGAAACAGTGCAACAGTTCGGGTAGAAAGTGAATACGATCGCACGGCAATAATGCTTTGTGCGAATCATGTGCCCCTAAAATTGACAAACGTATCTCAGATCACCGAATGAGTACTGTTTAAACTCACCCATTCGGAATAGATCATTTTCATCTAAAATTGGAAAGTAGAAAAAGCAAAGTTGTTAAATAAAACATGGAATTGTCCGCAGTGATTGAAGGTCAACAAAAGATGACAAATGAATAAATAGGAGTGGGAAATTCGATTCAGCCATGGAATGAGCTGATTGACACAAACACACGCCTTCTATGCGATGGGTTCGGAGTTCAAATCCCGGGCAGGATGGAGGATATGCACTAGTGATGTCCTCTAATAAGAGAGAAACTCGAATCTAGTGCCTTCAAGTGTAAAGCTGATAGGACAAGCAGAGGAATGTTTAGGAACGTGGGGTCTGAACGGTGGCCATTTTCAATCAACCGATCAATATAAATTATCCCACAACACAACTCACAAGCAACAGTGAGTTAAACGTGATCAAATAAATCAGTTTTATTTGCACTTCTGACGATCCGACATCAGTGCATGTCGGGAGTCGAAAATACGTCCTCAGAGAAGCACAGTTAACAACACACACCGATTCAAGAATATGGTGCCTGACAGACCTAGTAAATTCATCAACCAGTTGTCCGAGTTGCAATCCCCTTGTGATTTCGCCTATTTGTTCCCCATAGCATATTGAATAGATTTTCTTACTTAGCCCAACTCACGTTGAATAGTGCGACCTTCGGGTGCGATGTAATATCCTTGTGAATTTTTTGTCACCAATGAGGAAAGCTGAAACCTCTTCGGTTGCTTTGAAGTTTGATCCGGTTCAAATCCGACAGCCACACGAAGTTTACCATTCACCGGGTAGAATTTCAAAATGTGAATATCAAATTTGGTCTGTCCATGGGGTTTCTGCTTCGATTGATCAGTGGTGGTCAAGGTTTTTTGTTTAGAATGAGAAAAAAACCAAATTAGGTGGCTGGTGAAACGGTGTGCTTATTCATAGTAAACCAATTTTTAAAATTTGTGGTGGAGAATTGCACCGAAAATTAGTTCCGCAATTCAATAAACCAGATTGCGAAAAGAAGACCAAAAAGTAGCGGCTCATTTACGTGAATACATAAATGCATTGTTTTCGATTACCAGCTTTCTATTCCCTACCACAAACTGACTATATCATTGGTTTTCTGGCTGTTATTATCTCTTTGTTTTTCAAAAATAATAATAACTATTGCTCAGTGATTTTACGATACACCTTATGCATCATTTTAATCAGTCAGTTAATCAATGTTATTCACGGTTTCACTCGAAAGTTAGAATTCTCATGAGAAATCGAATTACGTCTCATTGTGAAAGGTCTCATGACTGTAACCGATTGTGTTGCATGGAAAAAATGAAGTAGTCAGATTATTTGTTTGACCAAACGCGTAAATCCCATATGATATGAATGTCGGCTAGATATCTTTCCTTGAACGCAAAACACAGGTGAGCATGTGCATCTATCCAGAGCTGTTAGTTTATTTCAGTTTGTACAATTTCGTCCGTCGTGTTCGGTTGCTGTTTTTGGCTGTCCATTTGAATGAAGCAGTAGGCGAAACACAGGAAATTTGAAATTAGAGCCGAAGAGAAAGCGGCAAATTTCAGAAGACCAAGTTTGCATTGAAACTGTCAGGGTGCACAGAGGTGACTGTTTGCGACACTCAGTTATATCACTAATTGTATATAACCATGGATTACAATGATACCCAGCTTCCCATCCAGGGAGTCTAATGGGACCTTTATGATCCAGTCTCCTTGTTCGGGTATGCATACCCTCATGACGTGACTTATTTGACTGTAGTTGGTTTTTTTTCACCTGCCTCGGCAAATATCGCGTACCGTGGCAGTGTATTTGATGGCATGCTTAAAATATCCCCCAAATTAACGTAAACCATAGAGATCGATCACTTGTTCCCGTGGGTGAAAGTGGTTACCTTAATCGCCGTGTCTAATCATGGCTTATTCTTTTTCCCCGCCAGATTCGTATACAGTGGTGTTCGAACACAGACGGTCCATCTTTGTCTTGTTTCCGTAATTGCCAAGTTTTTGCACCGAATAATAGGACTGGTAAAAAGAGCTGCAACATACACTCGACCGTTCACAGAGAGCTGAATAGCGTGACCCCGCGCCAGATGCCTTAATTTGGCAAATGCCAATCGAGCCTTCTGTATGCGTGCTGCGACTCAATTCGTGATGCGTGCACCATGATGAGATTCAGCTGCCAAAATAACAAACATTTTTCATTGACTCTATTGCTTCCCCAGTTAGCGTTTGTTTCGATGTTGGACCGCCCTGAACTTGGTTATACTGGCACACAAACTATCCATAAAGGCTTTCAACCTACCTGGATGTTCACGTAGTAGTATACGCAGTAGTACAATGTCTTTTATATGCTCCAGATGAGACAGTGCATCACCCGGAAGCAACTGGATGTCACTATCCTCGCACGAGGAAAGGGCTGTTTGCATAAGCAAATACACAACAAAGTTAAATAGGAAAGGAGATAGAGTACCCTGATGAACTGCACTTTATGCTTTGAATTTGAGTGAAAAAGTTCCTTAATCTCAGACTCAGCTTTCGGCGATTAGTTGGAGGGGTTCATAGTATTGAAATAAACCTCTCGGACACAACCTTCGTCTAAATGCTTGCTCCATAGTTTAGATCTGTTGGTTGATTCAAAAGCCGCTCCTAGCTCAGGAAAAACAGAGATAGTGGGTGTATGAAAAGAACGTCGGTGCTCCAGAATTTGGCGAAGGATGTAAATTTGGTCTACACAAACTCGAGAAGGTATAAAACTGGTTTGCTCATGCGTGCACTCTTTACGTGCGGCACATAATCGACGGAGTATGATCCCAGTGAGAAGTTTAGAAGCACTGTTGACGTCTCCGGTGACTACTAAGACGCTCGTTGATTGAACACTTTGGAGTTGAGAAGAAAGATCTTGTAGAGTCCATCTAGAACTGTCAGACTACCAACAGATAAATGGATAGATAGATAGATAGATAGATAGATAGATAAATAGATATAGTTCGAAATAGTGCAATTAATGAAATATGGCACTTCATCCATTTTGCAATGAGATTTATTACTCAGCTCTAATTGATTACAGCAGCACTCTTGATGTCTAGTAGATCAGATTAACATAAATCATCCCTTAATTTTACCATTAACAGTCATTCAACTGAAAATATTTTTAGTTTGCCGTAGATCACACCAATCCTGTTCCACGGAGCCATCCGTGTGTGAAACTTACCCCGACTGTGAGGTACGCAAGTAATTGCTTCTTCGTCCTGGCCACATCTTTGAGCATGACTGAATCCCAAGAAATTATTGTATCATCTTTTTTTAAAAAGCCGTCCATTCGCACTGTTGTATCTAGAAACAAAAACAAACAAACAACGGTTTGCTATGAAGGCGTGGACCTTGTTTGGAAACTAAAACCACATGCTGTATGGACTAAAATGAGCATAGCCATCAGCCTTCTTTTAGCATGATTATTATCATTAATTTTGTTGTTGCTGTTGGTGGTAGTGGTGGTGTTGGTGGTGGTATTGGTGGTGTTGGTGCCGGTTTGATAAACACACTTCACGGTGTTAACATCGACAACAAAACATATTGCTTTTATCAGAGTGGGAGCAAAATTATTCACATTTTTGAAATATTCTAAACGCATCGACAACCGATAACGAGTGTGTTTTTGCCTGGAAACGAACCTCGTCTGAAATCCTCCAAACCGAAATAAATATCTGCATGAAAATAAATAAAACAAAACCGATAAGTGAATGAATGGGAAATTGATTTCTACTTGGATTATTTCGATTATTACTATTTAAATTTCGATACACGATTGAGTATTTGTTCTTGTTAGGACTGGGTAAGATCAAACACACATTGTCAAAATACAAATACATATCCAATGACTAATTTTAGGAAACATATGCATGAGTAAAAATGTAATAGAGAACTACGTGGACTGGGACCCGGAGGCAGGTTGATACTTCAAGTTCCAGTTCTCTTCGTCTGACGTAGAGGAGGCCGTTTGAAATGCAAGGGTCATTTTCAGGAAAAACAAATAAATCTATGTTACCAATTCAAGTCAGTTAGATTGGTCTTGGTCTAGTGAAAATGGAGCTCGACACTGCACCCAAACAGGTCGAAACCAGTGATTTTTATTTCGGGAGATGAGGGGTGGTGACCAGATCATGCTCATGTATCGTGATCCCATAAACCACTGACCAATTACACAACCTCCACCACCCAATAAGTGTGTACACATATTCCACTACTTATGTGCTTTGATAATGATGATGATGATGATGATGATAATGATGATGACGACGATGATGATGATGATGACGACGACGATGATGATGATGATGATGATGATGATGATGACGATGATCATACTCGAAACAAGAGCCTTCTAAAACGCTTCGTTGCAACCTCCCTTCAAGCTATGGCAACTGGTTTCACCATTTACAATCAACACTATGTTTGCAACTCAGGACGGGCTAGATGTGCCCGGTGGTTCTCCGTTTCCCAAACAGGTAAACTCACCACGCAGTTGAGGCATCAGGCAACGCTATAGACGTACCCATTAGTTCGAAATCCACAAACCGCGATTTTAGCAACGGTTTTAACAAGTTTTTCAGTGCGAATTGCGTTTGTATGTTATACGGTTGTAAGAACGTCTGAAACAGCTCCTTCCGGAATTGTATATCCAGTAAAATAATATTTTTTCTCTCACTGATCGTGGAGTGTAAGCAGTCTACTTTGATAAAAGATTTGGCCAGATTCACCAACTGATTGTATACCGTAGTCAAGGATTGAGAGTGAATTGGAACGACCAAGTAAACCGGGGAGAGAGAAGCGGGGAGAAATGGAACCGTCACATGAAAACTTTCACACATAAAGGAGAAAGATAGTGTTATCAAGGCATAATCATAAAAGTGACACCGATCTAGGGATTGCAGGAAATTATTCTCACCCTAACTAACTGATGAAGTATCTTCTCATAAAACATTTGTCACAATTAAATATATATATATATTTATACCCCAAACCTCAGGAACATTTCATTTCCAATTCCGTAACAAACAATGGCCAAAGAATCGAGAAATGACAGAATAATTACTTTATAACTATGTACATAAGCTAAATTACTAACGACTGACTCTAAATAAAGTGCGATTAAATTTAGCTAAAGTGTATCAACGGTAGAGTTTTTGGAAATGTTTTAGACTCTGTTGCTGAGATAACACCACAGGTCCTCTCTACACTAATTGGAACGAGTTTAATTCATCAATCGGCTATAGTCATGGACAATTTCACATACTCCTACATCATACATACATACATACATACATACATACATACATCACAATCAGCGCCAACTCAGGTATGCAAGTGGTTAAGTGGCATGCCAGTAAAGTCCACAATCAAACTGGCTACATCTGTGAATTGTTCGGCTTGTAGCGGAAACATCCTTTCCCTTTGATCCATTTGAATAAAACAAGTAACACAATATGAGCAGAATTGATATTGACCATCAATTTCAATTGATGGCCAATATCAATTCTGCTCATATTGTGTTACTTGTTCGGCTTGTGTCTATGTGTCTGTGTAGGGGGGGGGCGGAGATCCCGGTAGTGCCTACGGCCTTAATAAGATACCGATTGCACTCATCTTTCTTGCGATGTCTCATGACAAGAAGAAACGATGCATTTAAGAAAACCAACACAAATGACGCTTCCTGTCCAATCGCGGAGTTCACAAGTGCTCGACTATCGGCTCAAATGCACCTATTCACCTCCGAAGTTAATCTAATCAATCGTGGCGAATCGGCATGGAACAAACAAATCTAACGCATGGACCACCAAGGCATTTGGCGTTATTCCTGTTTATATTACCACAACTTTAGCGAACATGATCACCGGGATAATTTCACACACAATGCATTTCTCAATTGAAAAGACAGTGTCTTCAGCTTTATCCGAATTTCTAATCCAGCTAGAGATGGATTCTTACAACTTTATTTCACGAGTACATGTTTCTGATCAATCACTTTCTAACAGCCGCTACCAAGACTCTAAAATTTAACCACCACGGGGAGCGGATCAACCATAAAGTGAATTTGTGAAAAGAAAATGCGTACCCGACGGGCCAGTTCCACTTCAGCGGTCGCTTTATTTGTCTGACAATTCAGACTTCTGTCATCCATGCGCACAACTGCCGTGATTGTGATTCGATCTATTGTATCAGATATCCGACGGGGGAGAGAAGGAAATGAGATGGGTGGGAACAGAATAAGTTCCCCCGTTTTTTTCAACATGAACACAAAAATGCCAGTCATCAAATTTCAGTATACATTAATGAATGACAGACTCACCCTCATGGAGCCATCTCTCCTGTAACTCTGTATAATATCCCTGGAACCATGTCTCATCTGTTCAATAGAAGTGCATTTTATGGGGTGCCTTTCCGAATAACGTTTATTAGCAGGAACAGCGCCTACTCCCCGAACCCGAACTGTTGACCCTGCTAGATCACTGTGATGCAGTGGACAACGTGTGCGTGGTCTTCCTCAAGGCATTTGACCAAGTGAACCACAAAATACTGCTGAAGAAACTACACAATTATGTAATTCGGGGACTTGTATTGGGTTGGACATGATTGTTTTTAACAACACACCATGGCAGTTCGGGTTCTGCGTCACTGCCTGATCCTATCAGCGTAACTCGATGTGTTTCACAGGGAACCGTGCTTGGCCTTCAGGTTTGCCTGGTTTTTCTAAACGACCTAGAGAGCACTCTGGGGTCAAATCCGATAATGTTTGCAGTAGATGAAAAAATATAGAAATCATTGACAAAACCTGAGTACTCACTGAAACTTCGTAGAAAACTTAATGCGGCTTACCACTGATGAATAGAAAATGACATCGAATTTTAATGTATCAAAAAATGCACGGTCGTATCTCTTCACCACAAAACTCGGTTCTCGTAATTCCTGGGCTATTAGCAACTTCCTTATGTCTCGAATGCAAAGGATTTCAGTGCCACTGTTCAAACGGACTTACATCGGTATAAGACACGCTTGTTTGCTGGGGCGAATATTTGGCAAATTTGAACCTATGCTATTCCTTCATTTGCTATTAGCCTACATTCAAGTATGCAATTCACGCGTAGAATCCAAGGCTGCAATGCGATCGTAAGATTCTGGAAACGTCAACTAATAAAGGAAACCAAAATATTCAATTTTTATGTGGAAAGAATGGGATAATTGGAAGTTGTACTCCACACAGTATGACCGACTTCGGAGGACTTGATGTCTCCTGTATCAAATAATACAGAACTCTGATCACCCACGTCGTTCCCTGTTCGCCATTTCTCCCAGTACTCACCTCACAGGGGACTCGTTCACATACGCGATGCAAAAATATCGATCAGAACACTGGCGTTATTCACTTATCTTCAGTGTGCACGATTTGGAATTCCCTACCACCTCACGTTGTTTCTGTGCATACAATTGATTCTGTCAAGCACAAACTTGGTGCAACATTGTTATGTCCTAAATTTCTACCTACTTAGCAGTAAACTAAAAAGAAAATTTGTTACATTCCTCTTATTTTATTGATCCAGTTTTGCGAGAAAACCCTATGTGACACAAAAAGTAATCGCTTGTATTTGCCATAAAAACTTTGAATTTAACTTTGATTAGACCTGCTAAAATACTTGCTCCTAATATCATGAAAGCACCATGCTCAGTTCTGTCAGGTGATTCGAGTACAGTTCGCTTTGTAATTAGTTGTGGCGAAATATGTGCCGTGTTTCATCACTTATATTACTAAGCCGGATTATGAAAACGTAAGAGCCCCGGTAGCTTCTTCAGGCCGTTATCACCATTATGTCATAGCCCACTTGCCTATTCTCCCGGAGATACTCCTCATACACCTAAGGGCTTGTGTTTGTGTTCCTAATACCTTGTCGAGTATTCGTTCGCATCAAATATCCCTGATGTATTTTACGGTAAAAGGTGGACTGCACAGGCTGTCCCCTTCGTTAACAATCTGATCGACGGATTTCAACCAACCCCTCTCGTTCACATCACTCGTTTTTGCTTAACAGATTCTCCTTTCTTTATGTCTCTGTTGATCTTCCGATTACTCCATGGTGTCCCGGTATGAGTCCTTGATCTTATCCGTCAATCATTTCGAATGCACCGTTTGAAGAACGTCTGCAACAATAAGCGGCTACTTTCGAAGTTCTTCGCGTTCAAATCACTGCCTGCTGCCGCATGTGTTGCACACACAACACACAGGTTATACTAAATTGATTGAATATTAGATCAGTTCGCCTCAGCCACTCAGATGTCAGTAGTAATCTAACCCTACTGACTGAGTTGTTGACTACTTGACGCCCAATCTTGCCGCATTCTGTTTTCTTGTAACGCCTGTCTGTTCGTCTATCTGTCTGCTTATATGTTGACGCCTCTGCTTGCACATTGGCACTTATACCGACCGATTCCGCAAGCACCTGTTTCGAAATAACATTTCGCCTAACTCATTTTGTGACTACTTACCTGCTGGAATGGACACAACAATGACTACCTTCTAGATTTGCAGATCACGTCTCTTCTTGTCTACTCGCTACAAAAGTCATGAAGTCGAAATCAAGTGTTTCAATTACCTCCATCCAAATTGTTTTGCTTGAGATTTAAACCACACCGTAGCACTTCTTCGGGATGTAACTTTGTTGCCATCCGCTCCAGACTAAAGAGTTTGGTTGGGTTAGGCAATCAATCAACCAAGGTCACCCACTGGAGCAAGTTATCGACCTCCATAGATTACATTGATTGAGGCATGTACTACGCACGTCACCAAATACATTGACACGGCGGGCCATGTTCGCTGAGGTGTATAGTGAGTGGAATAAAGTAAAGGCTGGTCAAACTAAGACCTGGCAACAGAGTGTAAAAACTGTAATCACTAGACTCATTCCTATGGGTCCCGTTAGACTCCCTGGATGGGGACCCCGGGATAATGGTAACAGATGGTCAGGGGACACTGTGTGAAATGGTTGTGTCGTAAACGGTGACGCTCGTGCATCTTCTAAATTTCGTTGCAACCTTGGTCCACCGAGATTCTTCATTCTCTCTTCCACTCTGTTTTCAACTTCCTTGCCTTTCTCCTACTGCTTAATACAAATGGACAACGAGAAGATAACGAGCAAAACTAATGCATGAAAGTGTGAGGTTAATGATTGTTCAAACTGAAACTCAAAACATCAATAAATGAAGTTGCACGAATATCTCATTGCATTTTGGAAACCTGAAAGAAAAGACACTTACCATGGACAATCAAAAATTGAGTTTGTGTAATTTTTGTCTTCTCCTGTCTCACGAGGGAAGTACATTGATATTGGCCTTCGTTGTTTTTTTTCAAATCGCTGATTTTCTAAAGGTATGGGGAGAATATGGTGCTATTTGATCAATTCTAAGCTCAGGATTGAAACCGTGATCAACGTATGTCAACTAAATGAATAAATTATTCCAGTAGGAAGTTGCTAGAACACATCCAGAGTGGACACACAC